CAAGATTATTTATTTTAATATGAGTATGATAAAGATGAGAAAAGCTGCGGTTCATATAGATAGTCTGTTTTCTTTGGGGTTCCGATAATTGGCCAGCGGTCAGTAGAATTTAATTTTGTCGATGGCCGCAAATGTTCAAAATACTGATTCAGAAACTAACTGGAAACGGCTCCCCAATGTACTCCAGCGACGACCATATGCTTATTAGTGCAATGCCTCAAATAGGAGTATGTGTCACGAACAGTCTGCGGTCACGAAGCAGACTGTGTTTTGGGGGCTAATAACGTCGGACATCGTCCTCACCCTCAAGGTGCATTTCCATTTACCCTTGGAAATGCGCAAAATCTAAATAGCGAAATAAAAAACTGGTAATGGAAACACAGTCTGATATCACGAAATTTGCTCTCCGATCTGCAGTATTAGTCACTGAAGCCAAGGCTAATAAATAGACTTTTGGACTTCTGCAGCAGACCAGCTAGTGTACTAGTAATTTCGCCTATTGTGGAGCACTTACTTCGTTATTGTAAGACGAGCATTTACAAATTTGCCACGTGCACAACTCAGTTGACAGAGACAATGTCAAATGCGTTGCCATTCTCATCGATGCATGAGTACAGCCGAGCTGTGATTGGCTGATGGCATGTACAATGGTACCAGAGCCGATCTGTGATTGGCTGACGTACGTAATGGTACCAACCGACCTGCAGAAAAAAATTTTGAAGCCAGTTCAGGCACCAGCGTTACTTGGGCTGTACAAAATGATGAATAGTAAGAGGGGGTGCCCATATGCTAAGATTATTCTTAAAAAGTTGAAAATTGAGAAACAAACAACAAATTCATTTTAAATCGATCAAGTTATTAAAAAAATTAAAATATAAAATTAAAGTGTCCATATATTTTATTTACAAATGTTTATAATAATAACATTATTCTCTGTGGAGCCCCTGTGAATGCTGGGCCCCTAGAATCGTCCATGGTTAACCCCCCCCTACAGCGCCGCTGACTGCGTAATCTGTGTAGGATTGCTTTATAAATGAAGATCAACCAGTGCTGCCGTCTCCTAGTAGCCAATAGGGAGTTTTCGCAACTACGACGGCAGACGTCAGGGACGGTAAGCTGATGCCAAAGTCGATTTGCGCATGCGGGACCCTGAAACTTCTTCCGTATTCTCCAAATCTGCTACAGTAGTAGGCCGATTTCTCGTTCGTCGTGGATCTTCTACGATGGAGCGTGGTGGAGTGCAACCAGCCAATCAGCACTTGGCCGCGTCATCAGCACTCAGAGCGTGGTGTATGCAAATATTCGCTCGCACCTCTGGCTTTTTTGATGCATCATGGATTCAACAACTAGGCCTACTACTAGTAGTAATGCTTTTTCTGAGAGTATGTGGCGACTGTTCGTACATCGCGCAGTCAGGTTTATTTCCTCGTCCAAGTCGGCCAGTGCGGAAACTGCATAATAATTTAGAACTAATAATTTAGATCCCATTATTGAAAATACGATTTTGTTATTGCTCAGGAATGGGTTTGTCAATTCGAAGCAGCTCTCCTAAAATCTTAAAATTAGGTGACCACTCTCGTCATCTCCTCCAGTTAAATATTACTACACGAATATTTTGAGAAACACCAACTAACTTTACACGCGCGCTCAATAGAGGGAGTGCATCTGCAGCTGACGTCACGCACCGTCCTCGTGCTCCTTTTGCGAAACTGCACATAACTCAGACGGTGGCACTGTTGTGGGGATGGTCACAGTTGATTGCTCACCAGTGTAGGACTAGCACCGTCGTGGTTTGCGAAAACTCCCTAGTGATGGCCAACCCACAGCCTTATACAAAGAACAATGATGCATTCTAAAATGATCTCTAGTAATAAAATGAAGTTCAGTGTGATAGACCGTATCGAGTTTTTTCAAGGTCGTTGGGGCAGCGTGCATGTAGATAATGTCACCATAATCTAACACTGACAAGAGGGTTGACTGAATTAAAAGCTTCCTATTATCTTGAGAGAAACAAGAGCTGTTTCTGTAAAAAAAAAAAAAAAAAACAATTTTATGTCTTAACTTTTTTGTTAGTTCATCAAGGTGTATTTTTTCTCTCTCTCTCTCTCTCTCTCTCTCTCTCTCTCTCTCTCTCTCTTATTAACAGTCATCATCGAAACAATCCAGAGGGAAGGGTATGAGGAAAAGGTTTTAACAGAGGGGGATAATCCAAATCATACAACATTTGATCAAACAGAACCTTGTAACAAACTAACTGCTGGATGATTTGGAAGGGAGAAAGAAAAAAAAACGAAATCAAGACATCAAACAACAAATGAAACAAAACCAAAGACAGAAGGAGAGAGAGAGAGAGAGAGAGAAACAACTTAGCCTAAAAAAAACAACAACAAAAAAGTGGTCAAGACAAAGTAACAAGGAATGATAACTATGACAATTGAGAAAATTAACAGTATTCACAATATTTACTGAAGCAAAGGGGAGAAGGAAGACAGAGAGGAAATAGAAAAGAGAAAAAATGGAAAAATGTGATAAGTAGACTTATTTAAAAAAAATTAAGTTAAGGGAATTGTGGAGTATGAGGTTAAGTCAGTGTGGGGAGGATGAGAATAACTCTTTATGGCCAGTAAGAACTGTTGTATCCATATGATTTATTTATTTATTTATTTATTTTTGGTAGTGTGCGTAGGCATTAGTTGACTGGTAGCGAGATAATATCATGAAACCATGAAAATTTTTTATTAAATTGTTGCATTGTTTTTTTTTTTTTTTTTGTAGGGCTGAGTAGTGTTCAATTGACAATTGTTTTGCTAATAAGTCTAACCATTGAGATATTTTCAGCTGTTTTTTGTTTTTCCAATTTAGCAGTATTGTTTTCTTGGCGATAGTTAGGGCTACTAGTAGAGGTGTTGCGATTTGTGTCGGAATTGTATTAATTTCACCTAATATGCAGATAGATGGGGTTAATGGGATGCTGCATTTAAATAGTGCCGACAGTTTGGTGATTACCTCTTCCCAAAAGTGGTGTACAGGTTGGCAGAGCCAAACAGCATGGAAGTAGTTATCTGTAGTATTAAGTGTACATTGAGTGCAAGGTGTACTTTAAAAGATATCGATTTATCAATGATAAATATCCCGAGGTATTTGTACCAAGACACTCGCTCGATTTCAGAGCCATCCAAGGTGCAAATTCCAAATGAACAATCCCTCAAAGAAGGGGATCTAGAGAAAAGCATACATTTTGTTTTTTGCCACCTTTAAAACTAATTTGAGCTCTAAAAGTGAATGCTGAAATGAAACAAAGGCTCTTTGCAATACAGATAACGCCTCATCCAATGAAGAAGCAGAAGGATAAAGCACTATATCATCAGCATATAGAAATATACCTAACAGCCATTATCAAAAGAGATCATATTCATATACAGAGTAAAAAGAAAGGGTCCTAGAATCGTACCCCTTTAGTGACCTCCAAAAAAGTTTTTTGAGCAGAGTCTGCTACAACACGTTATGTTCTATTTGAAAGATAATTTGAAAACCATTCTGATCTAGGCCTAATAAGCCAAGTCTTCCAAGTAAGAGTGAATGATGGACAGTATCAAAGGCCTTGGATAGGTCAACAAACAGGGTGGCACAATGTTGCCCACCATCAAGGGCACATACAATATCGTTCACAACAAGAGATGCCGCATACATGAGAAACAAAACACAAGAAATGGCTAATTTTAAGGTGCTTTCTTAAATCAATGAATGAACGCAAACTGAGAGAAATAAGAGTGCCATAGAACCCAAACATGAATGGACCCATCCCTGGACTGGCAAGATGGCTGCCTCAAGATCTCCTCCTTCCCCACAGGTGAACCAGAGCCCTTTCATAGGTGTGTCTGAGATTGGGTTCAGGTCTTCTACGCCTATTTAGAGGATCATGGAGACAAGCAGAAAAACATGAGCCCTCTTGGAGCGTAAGGTAACATTCAGCTACAGATAGTTTATAAAGTATTTGTTACATTTCAACAGCTTATTAGTTGATATTTGACAGTTCAACTCTTTCACTTTGTCTATAGATGTTCTGTTATCAACAAAGTATATGTGGCGATTCATCAATATTCCTATAGAGTATAACGTTTCAGCAGCTTATTATTTGACATTCAACAATTTAACTATCTCACTTTGTCAGCAGATGTTCAACAAATAATCAATAGAGTATATGTGACGATTCATTAGAGTACCTGCGTATTTTCAGAATAATTTAATTGCGCGTGACCTACTCACTCAACCCGTGCAATACAAATGTTTAACAGTGTACGAACAAACATTCAACTAAAAATTTATTAAAAAATTGTATTGTGTTGAACATCCTAATGTTCAACTAGTGTTTAATTAATATGTAACTTATGTTTAACTATTGCCAGAACTTTACAAATATTCTATGAGCTATCTGAAGCTGAATATCCAAGTGAAGTGTTACTGGGCTTGATAATATAGCCATGGCCCCTGGACTGTGTGTGCGTTGGTCTGTGTGTTTATGCCAATAAAGGCTTATCCTGCGCTGGGTTTGATTCATTCTTGTCCTCAGGGGAACAGCGCTGTGTCAGCTGGTGCTTGCTTCACAGATACTGCGACTCATATCTGCTGCATTCAACAGCCTTTCCCCTCTGTTTTTGGAGGATTTCATGTGTTAATGAGAACTGCATCCCACGCTCGCTCGTCGCAAAGCGCTTTGGTGCCGCTTGTCAATCTCATCCTGTTGCCTTGTTCAGGGTTTTGGTTTTGAACTGTCAGTTGTTGTAAGGCGCTAACTAAAAAAAGATGATATTAAGTGTATGTTGCTGTGCTATCTGTGGGTTATTCAAAATACAATAAAAAAATCATTGTTAAAAGTAATGACTTCGGCCTTTAATTCCATGATAATGATGACCAAAAAAAAAATCCAGTGAAAACAATGACAGTGACCACAGCACAAATCACATTTGCCTTTTATGAGCAGGTGTGATAAACAGGCCGTGGGGGGGTTGGTGCAGTGGTTAGCACTGCTGTCTCACAATACAGAAGATCCAGGTTGAAGCCCTGGCCGGCCTGGATCCCTCTGTGTGGCGTTTGCATGCTCTCCCCGTGTATGTGTGGGTTTCCTCTGTGTATTCCAGCTTCCCTCTCCCTGTAACACATGCTCTATAGGAACACTCCTACCGATGCCCCTGACCAAGGCGCTAGCTGTAGAACTGGAGCTGGTCCCGGATGCTGCACTATGGCTGCCCACTGCTCCTAAGTAACTAGGATGAGTAAAATGCAGAGGATGAATTACTCCACGGGGTTCAATAAAAAAAATTTTAGTGTATCTTATCTCTGGTGGAACAAAATTTGATGTACAAATTTATATGTGGACAAACAATAACTCCCAAATTATGACTGCTCTTCGCAAAGCTAGTGGGAAGATACAAAGATTATAACCCTACGCATCTCTACATGGGCCTGCTATGAAGCCAAGGTTATGGCAGGAGGTGGAAAAATTCATCTTGCAGTCAGATTAAATTTGAATTGCATGATGTAATATAAAAATGTCATTTGAAACCATCTAATTTATTTGTGGTACACCACATGCACCAAGGACTTTTAGGAGACACGCAGTCCATAAGTCAGAGTTTACTAGATCCCTGTATTGAAGAATGCGAGTAATATCAGTATTTAAATGCATAGAGCTGTCATTACTGTACTGATTCACCAGGATGTAAAGGCCTATCCCAGGAAGGACAACTAGGACTGCATCTGCTTCTGATTTTCATGCCAACTTTTGGAGTCAATAGCTCAATTAGCCATAATATTTCTGCAAATTGACATATAAGCTACAAGTCCTGGTAAGTGCATGAATGACAGTGGAACACTGTGGACATTAGGTCCCTGTACGAGGCAGTTTACACTGATTCAATCAATGAGTGAATCAATGCCGTCATCTACAGTTCCAATTGCAGTCACAGTCCAGTTAGTGCTCTTACAGTATCCTTTTTCTTTCCAGAAGATAAGTGCTTAAAACCTACCCCTTTAAGATATAAAGTTTTGGACCAGCATCTAAATTTTATGCTTAAAGTTCCAGAAAAAGCTTATATGAAAAATTACATCAATTGCATCATGTCCACCGTCTATCTCACAGGTTACCTGATGGGCGAGCACAGTCGCAACAAAGATTCTCTCTGAAGCATAAGTGTGTAACAGTAAAATTAAATTAAATTTCATACTTACAAGAGAGTCTTTTCTGCCCATGAACCCTGTAGTAATTGCAATTTTATCTATAATTTTACGCGAGACATTTTCCTGGAACCGTCTTTTAATGCGATCTGCAAGTGAAATTCCATGCGACTCGCTATCAAGAAACAAAGCACTTTTTCTGAGGACTTTTTAGAATCAAAATAAAAATTCTGGCAACTTTTTGAAACAAAGCCTCGGGTCAGATTAGCTAGTTTCTTTGACAGCCATATTTTGCATTCCCTGGGAGACAAAAAGTAGGAGCAAATGAAAGAATCAAAAAGAGCCTGTGCTTCGTACTCAAACTCTTATTTTATTTTGTTTGTTTTTACTCACTGCTTTGTGGTTCATGGATATCACATTTGGGCAAATAATAGCTTAAATTAAAGAGGCAGGTCCCAAGACGAAATACTAAAACAAAAACCAATGAATGCGCGCAGAACCAATTTGTCAACACCTTATTAGCCAGCAAATAAAAGTGACAGTCGAGGAGCTGAGCCAGTAGAATGAGCTGGAGAAGATTGGGGTTGTTATGGACTGTCACCACTTGACTGACTGGCTTTGTCTGTGCGAGGTGATTGTTTACAGGCTTGTAAACATCAGTGTCTGTTGGTTTGCATATGCTGACCCTGCAATCACTTCCAGCCTGCTTGGAATGTTCTTACTCATTGTCTGTAATACAATAGACCCGTCACTGCTGTGCCAGCCAAACACAAACCAATCAGGAAGGGAGTATGATAAAAATTCATTTGTTAGCCAATGCGGGAGAAACCAAGAACACTGAGCATGAATTATAGAGCGTGAGGTCGATTCAGGTGCTCAATTTTTTCGAGGTAATGCTGTGCATTATTCTATATATCTATGCACTCCCCCTTTTCCTGCCCAAAATAGGGAACCATTTTGCAGAACTATAACGAAATGGATCTTTTATGTTTTTGTTAAGTTATTTTTCAACCACTGTCATGTGTTTAATTGTGAATCATAATGAATTCCATTTTAATGTCTTATCACCAGTCAGTAGCTGTTAGCAATTACAGTTTTTTTTTTTTGCATGCAACACACATCCAGGCTGGCTATGTTTGTTTATTTTTATTACTGTACTGATTTTAAAAATGCCATAAAGAAAAAAATGACATGCAAATATGCAAGCAACAGCTTCGAGGTTTTTCTTTTTGTACTGCTTGAATATCCATGTTTTAAAAGCCCCAGTAAACCTTAAGGCAAAGCAATTCCACATCTCCCTACAAACAAGGGGACTTGGCCTCACTGCCGCGGCATGGTTTTAAGATACATTTTTTTAAAAAAAGATATATGGTAGAACAATAAAGTACAGCTTTTCTGGGTCACATCACAGTATGAGATGTAAGAATATTGTTCTCATTAATATGGAACACAGGGCAAGGTCAACAATATTTGAACAAATTATATGCATCCAAATATAATAAACTTCTTGTGCGGGGGAAAAAAAAAGTTCTTGCTCTTTCTTATGGAGTAAAAGACTAACCAGAATCAATTATACTGTGCACCATTTATTCACCATAAAAGAGCCATGTCTACTACCCATCATTAAAATTTTGGTGCAGGTTTTTGCCACAGGAAAAAAAAAAAAAAAAAAAAACACGATGGGAAAGATTGAATTCTTCAGCTCTTGTGGAGGTTTGTTTTTATGAGCAAGCCTGCCATTGCAGTGTCAAGTTAACAGGTGGCAAATCTATTTTAATAACCCACTTTGCCACAACTGTGTATAGAAGCACAGACTCTGAGGATTTGAGTGACTGCCAACAATGCACATTAATGAAATTAAACAGAATCAAATGAAGTGTGTCAAACTGTTCTTTCAAATTTGAATCCACCAGCAATTCTTTTATTGTAAGCTTTTCATTTAATCTCTTCAAATGAGCCACTCCTTTCTAGAAGTTACTGCATTTTTTTGTTTCCTGCAGGTAATAAATTGCTTCAATGAGTCTGATTTGAGCACTGTTGCATTGAACTTGTCCTCAAAGTTCATTTGTACAAGCAGCTTATTACAACCTTAAGTTACGGTAAAGAATTAAGCGACTTCTAGCGGTTGTTTAAATAACGACAATCTGGTTTCCATCGTCAGTGTCGCCATCACTAAATCCTTAACCTAAGCCTAATCCTAACACTAACTCTAACTCTAACCCTAACCCTGACTCCAACTGTACTCCTGCCAGTTGGGGCGCTAATTTAGGCTATGCTCCTCTTCGATGTAAGTCAGGGTAAACGATCTATTTGGGCGTATGGTGGTGGACGGGTATAGGTTGCGTTAGAGAATGCCAAAACCTAGTGGATGGCTATTAAGAAAATCAAAAGCAAGGGTGCCGTCTGGCTATGTTTCTTTCTATGTTAATAAGAACTAAAAAAATTTAAACAAAAGCAAAAATTCAGATGCTTATTCCCAGTAAGAAGGAAGTATAATGCAGTCTGTGACTGCTAAGTAAGTCTGTCAACATGCACATCCTTTGAGAATAACATTAAAAAGCTGGTTGCCATCCACAGGTTCCCAATCTGCTGGAAGCACAGAATCATCATGGAATCATCAGAAATGCCATTGCATGCTAAGGTGTCCTGATTTTCCTTAACAAGAAATAAGAGACCTTGCCGAAACCTTGATAAGGGAAGTCTGAGACTAACAAGCTTCCAAATACTATTTGGCATATTAGGCAAATAAAATAAATGGAAAAAAAACAAACCAGACAAAACCTGCATGTAATGCACCTGTCAGTCCTGAGAGATAAAGGGGCGTCTATCTGTATGTGGCAGGCCGAAGGAGGGCCCGGGCGGGGAATTGAACCCCAGACTCCCGGTTAAGAGTCAAACGCGCTGACCGCATCACCAAAGAGCCAGGCTCGTTGGCAAGGTAGCCAGGGCACGTACTTATTAGGAGGCATTTCTAGTGACAGGACCCTTCAACTGTTACATCTCTCCCCCTCTTTTGGGAGCATGTCCTCACGCGCCATGCTTTACACATGCTGCCATCCATTAGGATCCCCCAGATCCTGCCGATTACGCCAGAGTGAGGCAGGCCAGAGGAAGGCCCGAGTGGGGAATTGAACCCCAGACTCTCGGGTAAGAGTCAAACGCGCTGACCACATCGCCAAAGAGCCTGGCTCTGGGGTGTCTGGGGTTCAATTCCCCATCCGGGCCCTCCTTCGGCCTGCCACATGTATTTCCATGTAATGTTATTTCTCATCATTCAATCAATGTGTTTTTTGATTGAGTTTTTGGAATTTTTTTTTTTAATGCAGAAATAGTTTAATGGATAAAGAGCTGGGTATCTGTGCATCACCTTCTATCTCTTGGACTGCACTGGGATTTTTGCAAGTGTGAATTACAACCTCCTGTGCCTCTCCTAATCTCTGGCAGTTTGCTGATTCCTTTTTCAAAGTCTTCAGTATTGTGGTTCCCTGATACGCTTCAAAGAGCGTTTCTGATAATGACATTACTCACTCTTCCATTAAAATGCCTTGAATCCAATTTAAAATTTCAGAAGCATATTCACAGATATTCACACATCGTTGCTTAAGCAATGAAGTTACATAAAATTACTAAGGTTGCTGTACAAGATTTACTCAATAAACTCCTTTGATAATGGAACATAAAAAAAAGCTTTTTTTCTGGAAGAGTAGGTGTACAATATACAAGAATGGAGGGCAGCTTGCGCAGCTTGTTCAGGCAGGCACCTGGAGAAATTCCTCATTCTTATAGGCACTTCTATGCATGTCCTCCACTGCTCCAGCTCTTCTGGAAGACAGCCATGCAAGCTGCTTGCTTGCTCTGCTCTGCTGCAAAAACATGCCTCTGCCTGCTGCTGCACTGCA